CAAGGAAATGTTCTGGAGGATAACTTACCACCACTAACTCTGCTAAAAAGCATGAATGCCACATTCTTACCTTGTCAGTTTGTCAGACTTATCCACACCCCTTTCTGCCTTTTAGATAAACCTGAGTGAGCTTAGTGGATTTTTTTTTTTTAAATCTATGTTGGTTGGAAAATGTAGCTACCTAATTTGGGGAATCAAAGTTGTATTTGATGTTATACACATTTGAATATGTTATAATATAGTTAGACATAATCTTGAAGTCCATTTATGAAATGGCAATGCTATTCCACATTAAAGTGAATGCAACTTTTAAAGGAGCAACAGTTATTTTCAAGCTTAGACAGAGGCCTGATAAGAGATCTTAAACAAATAAGAAGGTAGTACTCAATTGGAAGCACTTATTGATAATTGTTTTCATAGAATGCAAAGACTTTTTAAATTCACCAACTCCAATTATTCAATCTTCTCCATATTACTAACCAAACCCTTTGAATTTTGTATATTCTTTGATTCTTGTATGTTCTTTGAATCTACATAAATGTGATGAAATATACCGTGTTTCTCATATAATAAGGATGGGTCTTTTTTTTTTGAGCCCCCCCAAAATGGCTAGGTCATCTTTTCGGGGGTGACTAAATTCCCCCCCCCCCGCATCTTCAGGCGGGCGGGCAGCGACAGCTTGGATGTTGACCTTGGCGTTGATGGGGCACTTCGTATCGGGGTCAATGCAAGCAGCACCATATCCCGGTGTGCAACAAAAGTACTAACGGCAAGCCCCCCCACCATTCCCCCCCATTTCACATGTTTTAATATAGGCCTTAATTTGGGGGGAGGGGCTTAATTTCATTTCATGCCTATAAAACATGCTGGGACTTCCTACTGGGGGAGGCCGTATTGTTGGAGAAACATGGTGGTAAGGAGGTGGATCCCCAAGAGAGAAGGGATGCATTTCAGAGGAATAAGAGGCAACTCGGTTCAGATTCTGTGTGTGTGAGAAATAGGGTGAAAATAATTCTTCCCTTTGCAGAGTATATTGTATGCAGATAGTAGTGTGCTTAGTGTGGCAAGATTTTGTGTAGATCATTACAATTTAGGTATTAAACAACATATGCAACCTAAATAACATAGAGAAGCAGTTTAGTTTAGTGATCAAGGTACCACGCTAGAAAGCAGGAGATCATGGGTTCAAGACCCACCTCAGCCATGAATACCACATGGGTGATTTTGGGCCAGACACACACTCTCAGGCCAAACCACCTCACAATTGTTATTGTGGAGAAAATAGGAAGAGGCAGATGTATTGCAAATGTTCACCAAATTGGGTTGTCTATAATAATAAAGATGGGAGACAAATAAATAAATAAAAAATAAATATGGAATTACGTTGTCAGATTTTACCTCTCTGTCAAAACAAAGCCATTTCAAAGGCTGAGGAAATGCCTTGTTATGATTCTTTTCTGTTGGATTAACATAACACAAGTTTTGTAAAGTATGGGGGGGAGAGTCCAAAAACAGAAGTGAGGTCCAGATCATTTTTAGATGTTTCTGGGGGTGGCTAGAAGTAAATCTTTGGAAGAGGTTGATAAAGAAGAGGAAGAGCTCCATTTCAACAAGGTTCTCCTTAGCACATAATCTCTGACCTGGAAGAAAACATACATGGTAACAGGTGGGTTTATTGCTTTCTTAAAATATTTTAAACTATAACTTCCCAATGTTACATTGTCCCAAATGAATAATTGTATTCTTAAAGATTCAAATGCTAAAATATATATATTCTTAAAATATGTTAACCTAGGAATCTATCTTAGTACATATATTAATGTAACTATTTTTACATTTTCTTCCTTTACACAGTCATAAGCAATTTCAACCATCTATTCAAGCTTGAGATAAACAGAAAAAAATTCATCCTACTAACAAAAGATTTTTCTTTGAATAGTTGTTGTGGCATATTTAAACAAATGCAAACACCAAGTTAATGTCCTTTTTATAGATTTTCATAGACTCCTTAGAATCAGCAAGGAGCATATCAGTTAACTGGATAACCTGATTAATTGCTAAAATTTATATCAGCATCAATATATTTTGGCAAAGAACATTCACAGTTATTAATCATCAGGTTTACCTTTAACATTGTCTTATAAGGCCTCTTCACATCCATTGAGTGCAGATTTCTCAAAGTCAACATGGTTCTGGGTCCAGGTAGAAGATTTTGGGAGCTGTTACTCTGGGAACTACCCATTTTGGAAAGGAATATAACCATAAGAATAAATAGTAATCATAATAAAACGTCCAATCCAAGCCATTTCCTTTTAGAACACAACACAGTGGGGAAGTAAAGAGTTGTCTCCAAAGGATATGTGAGGCATGCAGCTTCCCTTATATCAGGGTAGCGTGACCCTGATTATGTTTTTTGATGGTTGAAATTCTTTCTGGCCGATAACCTTCCTGAATGCCTTTGTTCAACCCTTCTCTACCTGGCTGGTCCTTGAATGGGGGAGGGGAGGTGCTAGGTCTGCCACTTGGTCTTATGAGGCCAACAATAACTTCCCCTCCTGGATGCTAGGCAACACCACTTTCCCTGCCTGTGACTCTTCCAACTGAATCCCTTCAGGAGACAAGACTTACAAATATTGGGTTATGATCCACGTTAGCAGCATTCTGCTACCTCAACATCTATGGTTAACAGTAAAGTATTGAGCATGTATTTAGCCTTAAATAAATTTTATGGACTGAATTTTCTGTGTAGGACACTCCCCAGAGAAATAGCCATGACATACAGTATATGCAGAAACTTTTTAGTTTACTTTATCGTCATTGCACCTCGTACAACAAAATTAAATGCCATCTTCAGTGTACATTATAGCTATAAAAATAAAACACAAACACATATCCTTCATATTCTATACAATTGAATTGAAAACCCGATACTGCATTAATATTGCACTGTACAATAGAATTCAATATAGTCACCACTCCAGGATAGAAGCCATTTTTCAGCCTATTTGTCCTTGTTTTTATTATCCTTTACTGTCCGTCAGATAATAATAGTTCAAAAAAAGGGTGCCCAACCTGATGATAGGATGGGCAAGAAATGTGGGACACAACATTGATTTGGAAGACTGGGAAAGAATTTGGAAAAAGAATTATATGATTATGAAATTGGCAGTATATAAAGGGAATCAATATAAAATGTGTTATCAGTGGTATCTGGCCCCTTTGAGATTAGCCAAAATGTATCCCAATTTAAGCCCAATCTTCTGGAAATGCAAGCAGCCACAGTGCACCTTCTTCCATGTATGGTGGCTCTGTCTGAGAATTAAGAAATATTGGATAAAAATACGAACATGGATAAAAGAAATTACAATCTTTCAAGTAGAACTCAAAGCAGAAATATTTCTACTGGGGATAATAAAGGGAGACTTCACAAAAGAGATAAAATATTTAATTTTGCATATAATCACTGCAGCGAGACTAGCGCTCGCACAGTGTTGGAAAGGAGAGCACATGCCAACAGAGAGTTTAATAATCCAAAAAATCTACGATTGCGCTGAAATGGATAAGCTTACTTTAAAATTAAAAGAAAAGGAAGACTCAAAGTTATACAGTCTGGGAAAACTAGTACAAATAGATAAATGATAAAAATCATCAAGTAAATAAGGAATAGTTTATAGAGGTTAATGTATGAGAAATAACCAGAAATATGAAATATGTATTGGAACAACATTTGGTACATAAGTGCCATCAAACTGATATGTAATGTTTATAGTATTTTGTTTTAATGAATTGTATTTTGTATTTATTCTTTTTTTAATGATTAATAAAGGTTTAAAAAAGGCGGGGGGTGCCCAGGATGAGTTGGATTTTTGAGAATGTTTTGAACTTTCTTAAGGCAGCAGGAGTTATAAAGCTTTTCCAAAGAGGGGAGAGGGCAACCAATGATCTTCTGGGCAATGACATTAACCCTCTGGCGTGCTTTCCTATCTGCCACTGTGCAATTGGCAAACCATACACAGGTGCACTAAGTTAAGATACTGTCTAGCGGTAGAAGGTCATCAGCAGTTTTTCATTCAGTTGTTTCCTGAGAAGTCTCAGGTAATATAATCTTTGCTGGGCCCTTTTGACCAGTGCTGCAATATGAGCACCCCAGGTCAGGTCTTCTTTTATGGTAACACCCGGAAACTAAAAACTGGCCACTTGCTCCACTTGGTCTCCATTCATAAGCAAAGGCTGGATGTCTGATCTATTCCTTCTATAGTCCACTATAAGCTCCTTAGACTTATTGGTGTTAAGGACCAAGTTATTATCTCCATACCACAAAAGCAACCGGTCCATCTCATCTCAATAGGCAGACTCATCCCTCCTGGAGATGAGTCCCACCACTGTTGTATCATCTGCAAATTTAGTAATAGTATTACTAGCATGAATGGGAATGCAGTCATGCACATATAGAGTAAGGGACTCAACACGCAACCTTGTGGTGTACCAGTGTTAAGAATAAGAACTGAAGAGATATGATTACCTAATCTGACCCTCTGAGAGTGGTCAGACAGGAAATCCATAATCCAAAGGCAGATTGAATAAGAAAGTCCAAGATCCATAAGTCTATGGAGAAGTATTGTGTTAAAAACAGAGCTAAAATCTATGAAAAGCATCCTCACATAGCTTCCCCCCCGCCCCGCCCCGCTGTTCTAGATGAGTCAGCAGTGTGAAGAGTGATGGCTATAGTGTGCTCTGTAGATCTATTTCTTCTGCATGAAATCTGGTGTTTATCAAATATATATGGAAGACCAGAAATGATGTACCAGCAGACCAATTTCTCAAAGCACTGCATGATGATAAGAGTGAGTGCCACAGGACATTTGGAGTTTGCCTAAGTTTCTTTGGGATAAAATCATTTTAATCATATAAAGGGAAAAAAGAATCATAATCATATCTAAAATGATTAAGATGTTGTAACTTCCTCTGCATTTTCAAGAAAAATTGAGAGACAAAAACTATAACAATATTTCACAAAACTTTATTTTGGCATTCTGCACATACATCAAAACAACTGATTTTTCCAGATTCAGTCTGAAAGCTTAGCATGCATCTTCCATCCTCATCTGAGATTTTTTTCTCTAGAAATCATGGTAAAAGTTTATACAGCTACTTCATTTCCCCCACAATCTATTTAAGTCTATACATTTTTGATAGAGATGTTTACATTTAACAGATTGACATCAATGCTTCCAATATGTGACTGTTGAAGACACAAAACATGTTATTTTTCTTTTATTTAACTTAAAAAAAACCCTTTAAAGAAGAGTATTCAATCCTTTCTTATTCAATCTGACAATTCAGTGTTTTAATCAATCTCATCCCAGTTAAACATCTAACCTGGTAACACAACTGGCTGCTTGTCCAATACATTATTTCAAGTGTTGTAAAGTTTTGAATTTTAGTCCTCTGTCTTTTATCAGATTATATATAATCAGTTGCTCATCTCTTCAAGTAATTTCTGCTAGTAAATTTTTCTTCAGTTTTTGGAGGAATCTATTTGAACAAAATCTTTAGCCTTGTCAAGATGTTCATCCCAACTGAGACAGTTACATCTTCCCACTTGAAATATCTGCCATTCTGTTTCTAGGAATATCCAGCAATGATTATCTCTAAATAAACCTTTTTTATTTTTTTGTAAAATGAATTCTCAGTAATGTTAAATGTTGTTGTTTCCTATTGGTACCCCTTTTTTTCCTTCAGCTAAGTTCTGTGTCAACATGTGATTTTAATATCCTAGCATTAAGGTACACTGCTTTGTATATAAATTACAATTTTCTGGCATACGTGTACTGCATTTCTTCATGATATTGCTACTGCTGATGAAACACATCAGAAAACAGGTCAAAGGAGTGAGCAGACCGAATTGCTTTAATATTTTAGAATATTTTATTCCTTATAAAAATCAGAACAGGAATCTATAGCAGATAATCCTCTGTTGTTCTTCTCTGCACTCTTTCTAGACTCTCAACGTCTTTTTTGTATTGTGGTGACCAAAACTGGATATAATATTCCAAGTGTGGTCTTACCAAGGTCTTATCAAGCAGTATTAATACTTAATATGATCTTGATTCTATCCCTTTATTATTGCTGCCTGGGATTGCATTGGCTTTTTTTGGTGGCTGCAGAACACTGTTGGCTCATATTTACGTGGTTGTCCACTAGCACTCCAAGATCCCTCTCACTGTTACTGCTATTGAGCGAAATTTCACCTAATCTGTACCTGTACATTTGGTTTTGCTTACCTAAGTTTAAAACCTTTTCTATGCACTGCATTTCATTTTGTTAGATAGGGCCCAGTGTTCACGTTTGTCGAGATCTATCTGGATCTTAAGCCTATTTTCAGGGCTGTTGGCTATTCCTGCCATCTTGGTATAATCTGCAAATTTGATGAGTTCTTCTTATCTAAATCGCTTACAAAGGTATTGAAGAGTACTGGGCCTAAAACAGAACCTTGGGGTACCCCACTGCTTACATTCCTTCATGTAGATGCAGTTCCATTAAGTAGTTGTAAGTAACTACATGTAATTACATGTAAATGTAGTTGTATTAAGGACCACACATTGAATGTAGCTTGTCAGCCAGTTACAAATCCATCTGGTGGTGATGCTGTCTATCTTGCATTTTTCTAGCTGATCGAGTAGTATGTTGTGGTCTACTTTGTCAATTTTTTTTAATGAAATCCAACTATACTATGTCCACAGAAACTAAGAAGTCTAGATTAGAACATGGACTTTTTCAATTATTATTGTTGCTTTTGTTAACATTGATAACTTGTAACAAATAAATGCATATATACAGTATATATAATTATGGTGGAAAAATCTGTATTGCTTAAAATGAATTTAACAACAAGCAAAACTTAACAAAATGAAATAGGAGGGGAAAAAAGGAAACAAACAAAAATAATAAGAGTTCCAAGCATTTAGCATGATTTCTTAGCATGATTTTTTACTCTCAGAATCTAGATTTTGTGTGTATGCAAATCATTATAGTACAGTTTCAGACAGCCTCTTAAACCAAACCATAAAGAATTATATTATCCAATACTGAAAACGGTTATGAAGGTCTTGTGTCTTATGAACATGGAATGGCACAGGTCTTATAAGGCATAGGAGGGGTTGTAAATCCAAGCGCAGGCATTAGATTCAGATCATTTTTAGATATTCCCGGGGGTGGTTGAAAGGTAAATTTCTGCAGGAGGCTGGTGAAGAAGAGGAAGAGCTCCATTTTGGCAAGCGTCTCACCTGCACATATTCTCCTACCTGGAAGAAAGCATATATGCAAAAAAAAGAAGAAAGTATGCTTATTGGTTTCTTCAACCATTTTACATAGCTTTCTAGTGTCAGATTGTCATGGAGAGACGAGTAAGACACAAACTTATAACAAGACATTCATATTTTAAATAAGAACAATAAAATAAAAATAAGGCATGTATCATAAGCATGCTAATCTTAAAAGAAGGATGAGCCTTCATAACAAAGGTGGTATTCAGCAGGTTCTGACCAGTTCTGGAGAGCCGGTAGCAGACATTTTGAGTAGTTGAGGAGAACTGGCAAATACCACCTCTGACTGACTTATAGTATCCTTCCCCTGCCACATCCACCAAGTCATGCCTACAGAACTGGTAGTAAAAAAAAAAAAATGAATCCCACCACTGCTTCATAAGTACCATTCTACACTGATGCCTTGAAAAGAAGATTGACTGAGCACCCCACTCGAGGTGGAGATTGTAATTACAACTACAGGTATACTTTTATTGAAAGTTAATTTCTGAGGGAAGGGACATCTATTAAATCTTCCTTTAAACTCTTAGTTGTCAGAATATTCCCCTGATCCATAAGCTCAATGATGAATATTGCAGTTTTTAGGGGGGAAAGTATGCATTAATACGTTCTACCATTTATGAATCCTTTTCCCAAAGAATGAGTTAGACAATTTCCAGAGGTGGTGGAGGAGGCTGGGGAAGGGCAGAGGCTGGCTGAGCAGTCAGAGGAGGACCCAGGCCCATCCCCTATCCATCCTAGGTCACGCAGGGAGGAGAGGATCAGGGAAAAGAGAGGTCTACTCAAGAGGAGATTACCATGATCCTCTTCATGGCTTGCAGGTGGGAGCTATGTATATAAGTTTTCAACTACGTAGTTAGAATTGCTGGAGTCAATTAGTGTTTACCTTGAAAGAGGCTTATCTTTGCTGGCATTCTTCCCATGGACTTTTCTTGGTTATTTTCCTGGAGTTTATAATTAGTTATCTTGGCTTGCTTCGGAACTCTCATCAATGCAGTTTGTTTTGGTTTTTTGTTTGCCTCATTATTTATTTTTGTGACTTTAAACTGTGCCTAATAAAACAGTGAAGTTAAGTTGAAGGCTTTACTGGACTTTAATATATGTTTTGGGTTTGGGGTTATTTTGAGAGACTATGGGTCATCAGAGTTATCATGTCCACCCCTGTTACTTCTATTCCCCCCAGTTCATTGTCATCTGCAAATTTGATGAGTTCCTCTTCTATCCCTTCATCAAGATCATTTATAAAAACGTTGAAGAGTACTAAGGCTAAGACCAAATTTTGTGGTACTCCACTGAATGCTTCCCTCCATGTAGCTGTAACTCCATTGAAGACTACCAGCTGGTCAGTCAATTGTGAATTATTAATCTAGTCGTGGTACTGTCTATCTCATATTTTCTATCTTACCAAGAAGTAGGTTGGGGCTACTTTGTGAAATATTTTGCTGAAGTCTAAGTATGTTATGTTGACAACATTTCACTGGTCCATTAATTTAGTTACTTTTATCGAAAAAGGCAATAGTGTTTGTGTGCCATAATCTGTTTTTAACAAATCTACGCTGGCTTCTAATAATCACCTTATTTGTTTCTAGGTGCACACAAATCCTTCACTTGGTTATTTCTCATTTATTTTTATTTCTTATTAAATTTATTAGCTTCCTATATTACCACAGGGTAACTCTGGGTGGTTTACAATATTAAATATTAATTATACAACACCTATAAATAATACAAATAACATACTATAAAATACAAATGCTCAAGCCTTCAAATATGAGGAGGGAGAGAGTAGGATGAGAAGAGGAGGAGGTGAAATCTATTATTAACCTATTAGCCATCTCAAGCATGAAATCCCCATATTGGAGCCTGAAGTCCAGAGCCAAGTCTTTAAACTCTTGCAGAAGGTCAGAAGAATTGGATCTGAGCTCACTCCGGGTAGTAAGATGTTTCAAGGGGCAGATGCAATGGCAGAGAAGGCTCTTCTCCCTGCCAGCTGGAATACTCTGGCCAATGGCGCCTGCAGCATGCTCCTCTGCTGGCATGGTTGGGGCGGGCCAATTCCAATGGGATGAGACAGTCCCTCAAATATAGAGGTGATATTCAGCAGGTTCTGACCAGTTCTGGAGAACCAGTAGCGGAAATTTTGAGTAGTTCGGAGAACCAGCAAATACCACCTCTGACTGCCCCTGCTCCCATCTCTTCTCTGCTTCCCAAGTCCCAGTTGATCAGCTGGGTCTTCTTTTGTTGCCCTGCACAGGAGAACGGAGCTGGAAAGCAGGTTAGTGGGGTGGGTAGGGAATGATGATTTTGCAGTATCCTTCCCCCTGGAGTGGGGAGAGAATGCAGATTTTGGAGTATCCTTCCCCTGTCACACCCACCAAACCACGCCCACAGAACTGGTAGTAAAAAAATTTTAATCCCACCACCGCTCAAATAACTGTTGTTGTTTTATGTTCAGAAGCTTAACTGTTTTTAGAAAATGGTTGCCATTAAATAGTGCAGTCTCATTGGCAGTGTAAGTTTGTGGGAGCATCAGGCAGTCTTATTCTAAACTCTGTTAAATGGAAGTTCATTACATCATTGTTTTATTATCACTTTTTCAAATGTTCTGCTGTGTCTTGTGAGCTTTACTTTCCAAAACACAAAGCATTACCCATTACGCATGCACACATATATAGATAATATTACCTGCAGAGAAAGGCATGAATGCATCCCTTTTTACAAATTTTCCTTCAGAATCAAGAAAATGCTCAGGATAGAATTGATAGGGTTTCTCCCACTGAGATTCATCACGGAGCACTGATGATAGCAAAGGAACAATTTGCATACCCTAAACATCAAAAGGGGGAAATCTATATTAAAAAAGTGTGCCTATTTAATACATTGTTATAGAAATCATTAAATTTTAAAAGCAGCACTGGAAATATATGAAATTTGAATAAATACTAGGCAAGAAGAAACATAAAGGTTAAAAAACATTGTAAGGGCGGGAGTTCTGGTTTGCAGTGCTTCGGGTCAGGCAGGAATCCGCGATTGTGCATGGTTTCTGCCTGCACTTGCCGCTGGAGTAACCCGAGCCACCTGGCTTCGGGGCTAAGTCACCCCGTAGAGGTGACTGAAGACAGGGGAGACCCCAGCAGGGTTCAGGAAAGGTGCATCTTTCCTCCCCAGCTGGCTTAACTCCCTTTTCCGAAGGCGGTAGAGTGGCGGTCAGAAATGGCCACCACAAAGAAGCACTCCTCCAGAAAAGAATGTGCAGAAGGAAGTTAAGAAGTGAAAGTTTTGGCTGACCAGGATAAGAAACAACATTCAAGGTATCCTGGAACTTAATTTTTTTAAAAAAGATACATCACTCCCAAAGAAGATCTGGAGGCAGCGAGTGAAAGTGAAAAGGGAAAGTCTTTTTTTCCCCGCTCTCCTTCCTTACGGTGACAGTAGATGAAAGAAATTGGAAAAACCCGCTTTGGCATCGGCAGGTAATTAAACTGAAAATTAAAGCCAAGGGGACAATAAAGATTTCTGAACACTGAAAAAACTTTTTTTTTGCTATAAGTGGGAAGGGAGAGGAAAAGAATAAAGAGTAAGATTTGGCTGGAGGAGACTCCTTGGAACTTAAAAAAATTGAAAGTTAAACTGTAACAAGACTTCTAAAAGATACATTTTAATTGGAACTTTGTAACTGAACTGTAACCCCAGGAAGAGAAAGTTTAAAAGAAGAAAGTTTTAAATGAAATAGCTTGTGTGTACATGGACTGCTTGGTGACTTTGGGACTTTTGGAAATTATATTTCAATGATTAAAAATACTTGGGTGGTTGTTTAAAATTTCTTTCTACAATGGCATCACTTGTGGATGAATTGAAAATGGAATTCAAAAAATATAAAGAAGAGGAACAAGAAAGGAAGGGGTCTTTTGGCTCTATTTTTCATTTTTTAGAAATGACGATTTCTACTTATGAGAAACTACAAGAACAAGAAGATTGGGACAAAGAAGAAGCCATCTTTAATGAACAAGTATCTGGGGAAGAAAGGGGAAAGAGGGGAAAGAGAATTGAGAATTTAAGACCTAAAAAAACAACCAAAAAAGGGAAAAATAAGGTGAAAAGTGGATACAATGTCAGAAAGCAACAGAAAAGAGGAATACAGAAGAGGGAAATGGAGATGGAGAGACAAGGGGGTAAAAAGGGCAGACTGAAGAAACAAGGGAGGAAGGAAGGAAGGAAAAAGAAGCTATAAAGGTTTGAAACAAGATATAAAGAAACAGGATTTATTTAGAGAGAATGGGTAAAAATATAACTGAAAAAGAGATTCTGCAAAGGTACATAAGATTGTATTGCTGTACTTGTATTAGAAATAATGTTAGAAAATTGGAACAATATATGATTATAAAATAGGATAAAATATTCAATGTAATTTAGTGAAACCTTTCTCTCTTTTTTTGAACAAAATAAATGAAATGAAATATGAGAAAATTGAATTAAGAAGGAACGGGAACATTTTAATTACATAATGTTTTAAAATATAAATGAAATGAGAAGCATGATACCTATTTGAAAAGGAATGTATAAAATGTTTAAGATTTAAATGAATATTAATTTTAATGATAGAGTTCAATTGGTATGGATTGTTATTTAAATTATATTATATATTTATAATTTTTTCTTTTATTAAAATATAGTATGTAGCTTTAGAATGTACTAAGCAGAATCCGAATGAAAGTTATGTATTATATTAAGTGTAAAACTTAGGGGAAAGATATAAAGGCATCATACTCCAATCAGTGATTACAGGAGAAATTTTGTGTTAATGAGAAAAGATAATAGACAGCTGAAACAGGACAGACAAAGGATATAAGTATAATGATTTAAATTGATATGAAATAAATAAAATAGAATTAAGAGAGTGAAAAGAGGGGAGAAGCCATATAGAGAATGTAGAATGTTAATAAGATATGGAATGGTATATAAAAGTGAGCATGAACTTGAATTTATGTCTGTATGAAGAGATGTAACCCAGGATCAAGCTGCTTTCAAAAAAGATGTTTTATGTTTTTCATGTTTTGTGTTTTGTTTGTATATGTTTGTTTTTTAAAAATTAATAAAAAAAATTGGAGAAAAAAAACATTGTAAGGAAAAATAGGGAAATAGATTATCAGCGCTCAATACTTAATAACTACATCTACATGGAGGGAAATAAGCAGTGAGGTACTACAAGATTCCATCTCAGGTCCAGTATCTTCAATATCTCCATAAATGACTTAGATGAGGGAATAGAAGAGGAACTGATCAAATTTGTAGATGACACTAGTGCACATTGACAGGAATAGCCAACACCCCACAAGATAAGCTCAGGGTCCAAAAAGATCTTGACAGACTTGAACAATGGTCCCTATCCAACAAAATGAAATTTAATGTGGAGAAAAGCAAAGTTTTACACCTAGACAGGAAAATCCAAAGGTGCAAGTACAGATTAGGTTAAACCTGGCTCAAAAACAGTAATTGTGAGAGGGATCTTGGAGTTCTAGTGGATGATTATTTAAATACGAGACACCAGTGTGCAGCAGCCGCCAAAAAAGCTAATACAATCCTTGGTTGTATAAACATAGGCATAGAATTAGTACCACTTTATAAAGCCTTAGTAAGGCCACACCTGGAATACTGCATCCAATTTTGGTCACCACATTACAAAAAAGATGCTGAGAGTTCAGAAAAAGTACGAAGAAGAGAAAGTAAGATGATTAAGGGCCTGGGGACAAAACATATGAGGAATGGCTGCAGTTTGGGTTTGGCTAGCCTAGAGAAAAGAATGCCGGGGTTGGGTGCGGGGGGAGACATGATAACAGTATTCTAGTATTTGAGAAGTTGCCATAAAGAGAAGGGAGTCAACTTATTTTCCAAAGCACCAGAAGGCAGGACAAAAAAACAATGGATGGAAACTAATCAAGGAGAGAAGCAATCTGGAATTAAGGAGAAATGTCTTGACAGTGAAAACAATTAACCACTGGGACAGTTTGCCTTCAGAAGCTGTGGGTGCTTCATCACTGGAGGTTTTTAAGAAGAGACTGCATAGTCCCTTGTCTGAAATGATTTAGGGTTTCTTGTTGAGCAGGAGGTTGGACTAGATGATCCCCAAGGATCATCTATTCTGACTGAACTCCTAAAAGTCCATTTTACTATGTAAAAATGATTTATACAGTACTAAAAAAGATTGGAACCTGTACAATGCAGTAATTTCAAACTGATCACCTTGGGAATGAAGAAGCCTTTGAAAGTTATATCCTTGGTGGTTGCATGGGGCAAATTGGTTGGAACAATATCAGAAAACCTTTGAATTTCATGAATTACTGCATCGGTATAAGGCATTTTGGATCGATCTTCTATCCTTGGCTGACGAACCCCAATTTCTTTTGCAATTTCTTCTTGGACCTTACCTGGGAGAATAGATTATGTAGGAAGGTGACTCATTGATTGAATTTTGTTTTAAATGAGAGTTTATGTAAAACTTTCAAATTGTGAAGGATAAAACATGAAGGACTTGGTTGCACAGATAATCTTTGACTTACAACCATTTATTTAGCAACTGCTTGAAGTTACAATGGCACTGAAGAAATTACTCACACTTGCAACCATTATAGCACCCCTATGGTTATGAGATCAAAATCCAATCACTTGACAACCAGCAGGTTTTTAGGATAGTTGCACCTCCCTGTGGTCAAGCGATGGTAATTTGTGAATTTCCCAGCTGGCTTCTGACAAGCAGGGTCAATTTGGGAAGCTGGATTTGCTTAATGAGCACATGATTTAACTAAGAACTGTGGTGAGTCACTTAACTGTTGCAAAAAAATTTTTTTTAAAAAAAAATTGGGTATGACTCAGTTAATAACTGCCTCGCTTAGCAATGGAAGTGCCAGTTCCAGTTGTGGTTGTAAGTTGACGACTATCTGTCCATTAGAGAAACACAATATTTATCTCTAAAGAAAATAGATACAGAAAATGTTAATGACAATGTTTAAAAATAGTAAGGATAATGTTTGAAAGTTTTAACTTAAATAGATTCAGAATTATTAAATAGCTAAATGCATTTGTAGCGCATGCCTAATAACACAAAGCTATGATCTTTTATGTTAGCATTTTGCCATCTTTTTCCTTCTTTATGAATATTTGTACCCAGAGGAGAAATGAGCAATCAATTGACTATCAGTTTACATTTTCAAACTCTAGAAGGAATGAAATGTTGGGTGGAGCACATAGAGATGAGTCAAAGTCATATCATGATTGGAATACAACTTTCTTAACAGAACAGTGTATTCAGTCTTGGCTCATATTAGAGTGTGATGTGCTATTCTTCTAAGAAATAATAGAGTGGGTGATAAGAGCACAAAATGAAGTATACATTTCTATTCATAATATAATAGTATAATATTTCTATTCACTGGATGCAGTACTGTTGAAGATCATTACAACATATTTTTACTTGAAGTCGAAAGAGTCATCAAACTATATGTACCAATAACAACTCCAAAAACCAGAAAAAACAGATTACCCATAACAATAAGGAAGCTTCAATCCAAAAAGAAATCACTTTGGCGGAAAAACAAATCTGGTCACGTTGCCAACTTCAAAAGTCGATACAAAAATTTATGCCACCAGATAAAGACTGAATGCACCAATTATCACATTAAACAAGAGGAAAACTTTCTATGCACCAATTCCACCCGCACTTCCTAATTTTGTAAACAACAAACTAAAAGACTCAAGGTCCATCCCACCCCTGAAAGGACCTAATGGTAAAGACTGCAATGATGATGACACCATTAAAGCCAACCTCTTTAACACATCCCTTGGCTCAGTATTTGTAAACAGCAATGGATCATGCCCAGTATTTCCTAGTCAAACCACAGACAACTACAGTGATCTAATACATATTGATTTTACAGAAGACAATGTTGAAAAAGCACTATGCAATCTAAAGGCATCTCTATCTATTGGACCGGATGGAATATGTGCCTACTTCTTAAAAAAGCTACCCACTGCCATAGCAGAACCTCTAAGCATAAACTTTGAAAAATCTTTCAGGACCAGCTCCTTGCCAAAATTATGGTCACAAGCCACAGTCATCCCCATCTTCAAAAAGGGAGATCCCAGCCTAGTTGAAAATTACAGACCAATCTCTTTATGCTGCATCATCTGTAAAGTCATGGAATCAATTATTAATTAATCCATTATCCTCCACTTAGAGACAAACAACCTACTCTCTAATAAACTATTTGGTTTCAGAAAAAAACCATCCTGTAATCTGCAACTCTTACACTGCAAAAACATATGGACTACGCAACTCGATCTATTGCAAAGCAATAGATGAAATCTACATAGACTTCTTTAAAGCCTTTGATTCAGTGGTACATGACAAACTGCTACTAAAACTAAAATCTTACGGTATCCCTGGACACCTGCAAAACTGGATAGAAGCATTCCTGTCAAACAGACAACAAATGGACAAAATTGGGAGTGTCCTATCAAATTCTGTACCTGTCAATAGTGGTGTCCCCCAAGGCAGTGTTCTAGGACCAACTCTCTTCATACTCTACATAAATGACCTCTGTGATTATATTAAGAGCAACTGCGTTCTCTTCACTGATGATGTAAAGCTATTCAACACCACAGACAATACTATTACCCTTCAAAAAGACCTTGACTATGTATCAGAATGGTCAAACAAATGGCAACTTCAAATCTCAACAAATAAATGCTCTGTCTTACATATTGGCAAAAGAAAAACAGAAAATAAAATACAAGCTGAATGGTCAAGAGCTTGTTGATGATCCAAACTCTGTCAAGGACCTTGGAGTACTCATCTCTAATGATCTAAGTGCTAGAGACCACCAAACAAACAAACATGCGTGAACTGTCAATGCAGAAATATCTTATACTTCTTTCTTCATATACTTACATTGATGAGTTCCTTAAAATATCAACAGAAAGGACAATTTATTCTTATTTCCTATTTTCCCTTGTTCAAATAATACTCTCATCTACTAAAAGTCTTTTTTTACTAACTATTCTATTTTTGATTGGAAGACAATATAATGAAACATGCTTACTCTGGATTTCTGGGTATTTCATCATCAGGAGTATGGCCCAACGCAGAGTGCTTCCAGTTGTTTCTGTACCAGCAGCAAATAAGTTACTCGAAACAGTTTTAAGATTTTCATTATGGAAATATCTGTTAGCCATCTTCTTATTTTCCTGAAGTGTATTTTAAAAAAGAGAACAGCTATCAAGGAAATACAATATACTCATACAGCCTAAATTCTAGAAGATTAATAGGACACTTCATCAGTGGACTATATACTTTAGTGGAGTCCATATTTGGGAGCATCATTTACCTTTTACAAAATGATAAAGGACTACTGAAGCTGTCATCCAAAAACAGTGGAGATGCTGTGCTTCTTTACAGTAAAGAAAATGAAGGGAGTAAATGCAGAGAAAAGTCATCTATATTAATCAGCAACATTGGTGACTATACAGAGAAAAACATTGACATAGTGCATTGAACCTGCTATATATTAATCTTTCTTTCTTTCTTTCTTTCTTTCTTTCTTTCTTTCTTTCTTTCT